GTTTACCTAAGGGAAAACATATAAATAATATGTGGTAATGCAAAATCTTCTTGGCTTACGCTATTCATGGACTGAGCAAGATTACCAAAATGAGCATGGAAAACAACTCAAACTGAACCTAAACATACCTTCACTTATTGACATTCTTAATATTATATTTTCTCATTTCCTTCTCTTGTAAGAATTATAAGGAGCAGCATTTGAAAATATGGAGCATTTTAAAAGACCAAGCTTTTCCTATCACTAGGTCCTTTACCCTTAAAGAGACTTTTAGTGATTTTTTTGTAATCTGGGTCTTTTGCTCCTTTCCTAGGCAGCTGCATAACAGGTAAATAAAGATCCTATATAATCAGTTCCACCCACTAATCTTGTGCTCTGTTCTTGTGAGTCATGCTGCACAAAATAACAAAGCAGCTGGATTAAATGGATGCCTTTCTATTATACATGAGCAGAATGAACCTCTTCTTACTCATGCAAAAGACAGAATTTAGCCTCGGAAGAAATTATATACTTTTATCCAGGCATGTATGTCTGTGTAAGCTGGAAGAATGATATCCAATTATTTGTTTATTCTGTCATAAATATACTTCTTTTATTACTTAACTCAAAAATAGAGATTTTTTGCTACCATTTGAACATCAGTGGCTTTTGTTGTGGTGGCGGTTCTTCTTCAGGGAGTATGTAAAACACTTTTATTTTGAGAAATATACGTAGTTCACTAAGAGCCAGCTTGGTCCGGTAGTTAAGGCACCAGGTTAGAAACTAGAAGTTTGTAAATCTGGATTCCCAGAAGGGAGAGGAAAACAACAGAGAAGGGTAGCTGGAAGAAAGATAAGATAAGATAACCTTTTTTGTCATTTTTTTTAACTGTGGGCACAACGGCACATGAAATTTAGTTGCCCGCTCTCAAAGTGAAACACATACATGACGCACATCTATGTGCATATGTATAGACCCGCATCCCTACATACACGTAGCAAATAAATATTAAATACTGTCCATCTTGAATATATAACGGAATGGCTCTTCCCGGATTGTATCTATAGTGATGCAAATAATTTGGCAATGTATCTATCAGAGTATATCTTTAGTGATGCTTTAGTTTGACAATATTTTGTCTATAAATAAGGAGCAATAAAGGAAACTGCACAGAAATAACTCTACATGTTGCTTTTGATTCTTGGGGCCTGGCAGTGCCCAAGAATCAAATATAATTGAATGAAAGGAAAGAAAACCCTCTTCCTTTTAGTGCCATTTTGAAATCCCTTATTTAAACATACCAATAGGTATACAAAACAGCTTTATATCACTTTTATTAACCTTATCTGTGCTTTAATTACTTTGACAGGTCTCATTTTGGGTAGAAACTAGTTAAGGACAGATATCTACAAGCACTTTCTCAAACTAATAACTACATACTAACATTATAGACAGAGTAAGAATAAGCCCACAAGTGTCCTTGTCAGACCCTGTTTTATTGAAGAGGAGTTAAACAGTGTTTACTTGCTCCCTTATTATTTAACTTATATGTTAATGATATTGCAGTGTCCATTAAGGCATAATGTTTTTTCTCCCCTTCACTTAATGGACAGAAAATTTCTATGTTAATGTATGCCGATGTCATGGTTTTTAATTCCTGTATAGTACATTATTAGCCAGATTAAATATTTACTATGGAAGGAAAAAACTGAAGATAAATTATAATAAAACGAAGGTAGTAGTCTTCGGCAAAAGTAATACTCAACACAGACAGAAAATTAATGCCTAATAAATAGTGCAATACCTCTCTTTTAAATACCTAGGCATCACTTATTGAACAATCTGGACTATTTGGACCAGCCCTGTTTTGTATAAATCTCACAGATATTGGCTAGTTTTATTATAGGGAAGTTCTCATCATTTAAGGATCTAAAAGCAGATCATGAAAATGTGCTTACTCTGGAAAATGATGTAAAATCATTGCTTTTTGCTCTCGTTATGTATTTTCCTGCTCATTGGCATGTTAAACTTGTACAAATACATCATTTGACAACCAATTTTTCAGAATTTTCAGTTACACCTACCTGGTATTCTATGGAGCATAACTTTTTTATTTTTGATAGAGGATGTTATGGTATAGAGAGATAAAAACCGAATAGCACAGGTTCTGTTTTATTGCACCAAAGTCTTTTTAATGTAATAAAGAATTTGTTACACCCTGCTCAACTCTAGGTACAGATAAAACTGCGGCATTAATACATTTTGACAGCAAGAAAACTGAAACTAAGGACATGCTGCTTTTAAAGGTTTTTCTTAATCAAATATTCTAGAAATGTTATCTACTTTATCTTCCAAAAATAGAAGTCCATTTCAGAGATGGCTGACCATGCTGAAATGTATCAGACTGGCTTAAATGCTATGGTTCATCTTTCAAAAACAAGTTTCTGGCAGAGCTATTGATCGTAATTGCTAAAGTGCATCCCATGGTCCTATTTCAGGATTCCTCTGGGCATTCCCCACCTTTTTTTCCAATTTCGCCTGTTCTAAACATGTGCATCGATCAAATAGATCATGCTATCCCCTGCCACTTTCGTTTTCAAATGACAACACCTCTTGATTAGTGGAAGCTGTACTTGTTGCCACAATTCTGTATCCAACAGTTTTAAGAATTCTGCTTTCTGTAATGTTCTGTCACAGTGTATGTACCATCCAAACGTTATCGAGAATTTGTCCAACTTCTTGAACATAAGCAAAGACTGGGCATAAACATATTTCAAAATTGTTTCTAACCTAGGTGCCACCCCCACCCCCCACTCCCCATTTAAATGGGTAGATAGAAATCCATTACAAAAGCTAATGCCATTGATTTGTTTTTAATGAAATGTATTATCCAGCTGAAATGTGTTTAGAAATATTACATAGCTGTGACACAAGAATGCACTTACACAGACTTGGAGGATCCATTTAAGACAACTGATCTTTTATATATTACTGTGATTTGAGGTACCTGAAGGCAATTTTTGTATGGATGGGATCAGTAACTCTTAAACATGATGTGTGATTTATACTTTAGTTACCAAACTGAATGCATCCTGTGTATGACTGCTTTAGATTATCAAATGGCTTACATGTTAGAGCAAAGAAGGCAAACATAATCTCAAAGTTGGTCAATTCTATCAGACTCAACTAGCATGACTAACAGACTGTGGAAATTATAATTAAAAATAACTGCAGAACATCAGAATGCCTCCTCAGTGTGTTACATTATGACATAGCTGGTTTTCTCTGTTGATGCCAATTGTTAAATTCTACACTAAGAGATTTGGAAAAACTCTTTTTTTACTGTTTTTAAACAACTTTTTAAATCCCGCCTTTATTTTTATAAATAAGATGACATCGTCTTCCTAATTTCTCCACAACTGCAATCTTATGAGTTGGGCTAAGAGTGATTGGCCCAAAGTCACCGAGATGGCTTTCCTGCCTAAGGCAGAACTAAAACTCCCAATTTCCTGATTTAAGAAAGCAGTAGAGCAGATAGACCAGAAGCAAGTAATTGGCACAAATTTAAAACCTCTAAGAATAAAGAGATTAAATGGTGATGGTGGGAGTTAGGAAACCCAGTGAAGTATTGGCAAGAAAGCACTAGTAGCTATACAATTCTGGGCCAAAGCAGCATTGTTCCTTTTCAGAGACCTTCCACATTATCCAGGAATTTCTCCCAGGAATAACTTTTATAGCGAATACACCTGGGGAAACTAAAATATATGAAATTCTCAGAGCTACTGAGGTGAATAGCATAGATACTCCTAGTTCTAAAGGACAATGAAGAAAATCAGAACACCATAAAATCCTTTGAAGAAAAACATAATGTGTATGTTTGCAATGAGAAGAGTTACCAAATTGGGACGATAGCATTCTTCTAAAAAGATGCCACATAGAAGGCCACAACTTAATATTCCATTGTTACAGAATAGAAATATGGAATCATGGTCTTAAATCAGAGGTCCCCAACCTTTTGGGCACCAGGGACCGATTCCGTGGAGGGAGGTTTTTCTATGGACTGGAGAATGCATGGTTTTGTATGTTGCCTGCATCTCACGAATAGGGCTTTGCTTGTTTGTGCGGCTCAGTTGCTGGCATGCCACGGCCCGGTACTGTCCATGGAGTGGGGGTTGGAGACCCCTATCTTAAATTACAAGAATGTAGATTCTGATGTTAGGATAAAATCCTGTCATTAACAGTAATCGAGCAGTAGACTTGTGTAGAGAAATGGTAATTCCCATCGCTGAGAATCTTCAAACAAGGTAGGATAGATGATGGAGATTTCATACATTCGAGCAAGTGTACTTTAATGGCTTTTCAATTCTGTGATGTAATAACTCTGCCTTGATTTTTTCTTATTTATGTGCAAATCAATGATAGGTTTCTAATTTTCCAGAACCACTACTGAAAAGGGCCCTAGACAGTGGTGGGATTCAAATATGTGAACAACCGGTTCTCTGTGTGGATGCCGCTTCTGGGCCTGGGCAACAAAAAGTTAGTTACCGGTTCTGCCAAAGTGGTGCAAACTGGCTGAATCCCACCACTGGCTGGCCCTAGACCCTAAGCCTCAGCTTGAATCATCACTCACTTTTTGTTCCCAAGTAGTTTCACATTAATGGAATTTCTTTAATTATGTTTACCCTAATGCCCTTGTCTGGAGATGCAAGCTTGCCTTTTTGTATTTATTTGGGGCAATGATTCTGTTTTTTTGTATTAAAACTGTAGTAAAGAAGAAACTGCAGTTCAAGACACATCAGTTAAGAAATGTTGTGCAATATGCAAAATATTTTATATAAAGTGAAGCAGTGACCCCTAATGGGCTTTCCCTGTTACTACAGGTTTTAGCCAAGGCCTTTTTAAGTCTTACGTATATATGGATATTTAATTATCACCTGAAGGCCTACTAGGCATCCAAAATATATACATTCCTCCTTATATTAGAAGAAACAATGCCGGTAAGATATAAACATGTATACAGATTTGTTTTCTTATACTTTTATTCAAGAATTGAAAGCAAACAACACATTTTAAATACAGGGAAAAAAATCACCTAAATGTTTATCAAGTTTAAATGTATTGTCCATAAGTCTGTTTTCATTGTTATCACCTATAATACAAGTTTACAGTGGTACAAAAATGGCAAACTTCATCTAATCAATTATGGTAGAAAGCCTTAAAGTATCTGTATGAAGAATGACACTTGTATAGGCACATTGTGGTAGAAGAAATACATTTCGATTGTGCATTTTTTAATTATTTGGACCTAAATGATTTAAATAAGGTGTACTAAGTTCAATAAAAACTATTTTGTATACTTAAACTGTAGTTTTTCTGTCTCAGAAATCTGAAAAAAATAATTCAGAAAAGTCAGAATTCAGAGTAATTGCCTAGTACATATAATTGAAGTTCATGCATTGATAAATCATCATTACTTTTGCTACAGTATCTTGAAGAACAGTAACAAGCCGCAGGATAGCAGCTTGATTAGGGTTTTAGTCTTAAACACTGATAATGGATTGAATTGCACTAAATTCAATGGAATTCACAACTGAAAAAGCATGCGTAAGATTTTTGTTGCAAGTCAATACATCCACATATACAGGTTTAACCAACTATAGAGATAATTTTATCAATTTCTCTCAAAATTGGGTCCTTGGGAGAAGAGTATTTGAGATTTGGCATTCCAGTAAGAGATGCAGTTCGACTGTCATTCATAAATACAAAAGTTTATTGGCACGTCATTAGTATAGAACAACAATGCTTTTCAATACCACAACATTAAAGACTTATCAAGTTATTCAAATACAAAACTACTGGTTTATCATAACTAAGGTACACAGCGCAGATTTAATAAAAGATATACCAAAAAGATACAGCCAATTCCTCTTTAGCTTAGAATTTGTTTCGGACAAATAAACATACATTATTCCTTATAACATAGGAAATGGTTTAAAAATAACTTTAAAAGAATTTGTCTATGACAGAAGAAATAACTCTTAAACCTTTTTTAAAAAATAGTTTGCAAATATTTCTTTGCTTTTTACAGTATCTGACTGCTAATTAATTTATGTTTGAGGACACTGATTAGGTCAAGGTGCCAATTCATCCTTTAAAAACTACACAGAACACAGTGCCTTGGTACACACATACAAATGGCCTAAGGTGAACATTAATAAATAAATAAGTACTGGTGACACTATTTGCCTGTGTGTTCAGAGCTCAATCCCGCCGCTATACAATCCCTCTTCACTTCAGTATACCTGCCTGAAATCACCTGTTGAAATGACTGGAGGCCTACTATGATACTTGATGGACTGCACTCAAAGGCTTCAAGGCTATCAATCCCTACCCTAGAATAAACCTGTAAGCCCAGTGACCAAGAACTTACTTCTGAATAATCATACATAGAAGTGTTTTACCAGCAATTTATTTGAATTTATAAGGGATAATGCTGCTTCAGAAAGCTTTATATATGTTGAGTTGAAATTTAAAATATTTTCTTTAAAAAAGCTATCAAAGCACCATATACTAAGAGATTCTGTTTATATTGAGGACTATTACAACATTTATGTTGAGAATAATTAAGTATGCATTTAATTTCTTACATCCTAGGTTTGGGAGTACTGTGTTTCCCACCAAATTGTACAATATTTATAGGGCTGAGGAAAGAGAAGTGAAAAAAAATCTGTGGAAAGAGCAATATTTAACCAGTTACAGCCTTATCCTATCTAGGTTTGCATATCTGCATATTTACAAATTAGTGTGTAGTTTTGACTCTGAATCAAAGTGCAACAAACAACTGTCACGTGATTGTAGTACAGAATGAAACAGCTTTCCCCTTTTCTTTTTGCTTGTCATCTTTTCCACTCGGGGGAAGCAATAGTAAGTCAGCAACAACGGACATGAGGTCTTGGAGGAGGCAGTTCTGGTGGAATCTCTGGTTCTGGCTGTAGGGACAGGATGCTGTTGGACAATTCATTTCTTATTACATCCAAAGGCATCTTAAATGAACACCAAAAATACACGTCAGCAGCATCTTACACAGAATTCTACTGAAGCCAATATACATGCATCTATAAGTACAGGTAGTCCTTGACTTACAACGGTTCATTTAGTGACAGACTGAAGTTACAACAGCACTGAAAAAAGTGACTTATGACTGCTTTTCACACTTATTGACCTCTGAAACATACCTTTTGCGGCCTTCCGACAAGCAAAGTCCATAGAGAAGCCAAATTCACTTAACAACCGTGTTACTAACTTGGCGATGGCAGTGATTCACTTAACAAATGTAGCAAGAAATTTAGTAAAATGGGGCAAAACTCACTTACCAACTATCTCGCTTGGCAACAGAAATTTTGGGCTCAATTGTGGTTGTAAGTCAAAGTCTACCTGTATATTCTTTCTACATCAAATGTTTCTCAACCATGACATGAAGATGAGTGGCTGGGGAAATCTGGGAGTCGAAATCACAGATCTTCAAGTGGCCAAGGGTGATATTGCTCTACATCTCTTTTCAAGCTCAAATGGTCACGAATGCCATGCAGAGGCCAGTTAATTAGTCTGAGAGTGCAGCATTTTAGCGTTTCATACATTGCTACGAGTCACTTTTAAATAAAAAGCAAAGAAAACAAAAAATATCACTGTGTACCATTAAATATAAATTAATTAAATAGAAAAACAATTTTCACTGTGCAATAGGGTTATTTTCTTAATCATGTCACTTTGGCCACTGTCTGACAGCATTTCTCACTCTTCAGAACACCAGATTTTTGTTTTATATCCAGAGACGCAGACAACTTCTGTATAACTTACAAACATTCATCAGACCACCTTGACTTCAAAACAGACTGAACTGAATTCTCTTCTACTGTGTTTGAGAGTCAGTCACACAAAATGTATGTAGTACCTAGCTAGGCTGTAAGCATGAGACACCTAATCTAGAATTGCTTTCAACAATCTAGTTCACATTTCTACCTTAAATTAAGATTACGTTAAAATTTCTTAGGTAATATTAAAGGAGTATCCATAAAATTTCCTATTCGTTATATACATTAACGAATTAATCAATTATCCTATGAAACAGTTTTATCTGCCAACTGAAGCAAGCAGAGATAATTCAGCAATTAAAAGCTGCTAAAATTGTTTCATAAATATATACAGTCAACAAATTAATACAGTTAGCTCTGACTAAATCTCACTGATGTCTAGGGATTACTTATATTAAATTTCATAGGAAGTTAATTTCTTACAGTATAAAGATCATTTACCTTTTTTAAAATGTCATCAACTAGTTTTAAAAATATTTCATCCACATTAAAATTATCCTTGGCACTAGCTTCACAGAAACGCATCCCAGTTATCTGCTGAGCAAACTATTAGGGGAAAAAAATAAAGTTTTATATTACTGGGTCAGTTCAATTACAAAAATCTTTCACTGAATTAAAAACTTACTGTATACTACAATAACATTAGATGATTTTAATTATAAATGGGTAATATTTTAAAAATCATTTTTTAAAAATAGTTAACATTGAAAATATTTGATCTCGTCTTTCAAAATTTTATTTTTACTGTCGTTATGGTGATTTCTAATCCTAGCAAATCTTTATTTTTTTGCAAATTCCTCAGTGGCAGAATTCCTCTGAATAAATGACACTATTTTTTAGATTTAGAAACTAACATAAGAGATATAGATTCCTGATATGAATTAATCAGAAATCCTCAATGATCACCTTATTGATTTATTCTGTATATCACTTGTAAGACCTCATTGCTTAAGGGCAAACAAATGGAAATAAGTTTTGATATTACAAATATATTCAATGTTTAGCTTCTGTGATCTTCACATTTCCACAAGAATGAATGTTGACTTTTATCTTGACCTACTTTTTCTCCTTGTTGCCGACTAATCTCTCTGTCCACTTCACAGTCTAACTTATTTCCAACCAATAGTAGCTCTGCATCTTCTGAGGCATACTGGAAAGAAAAAAGAAAAAAAACAACAACACAGTCATCTACAAATGTCTGTTTAAAAATGAGGCTTTAGTTTTCATATAAGAGAGTGAAGATATTTGACCAGTATGTTCTTTATAAATCACACTATGGATCTGTGCACATATTATCATGAATGATTGTGCTTTATTTTGGTGGCTTTTTGATGTATATTGTTCCTAATACAAATTTACTATTGTTATGTAACTATAAAATAATGAAAAACAGAAAAATAATGTACTAAATAATGTTAGATAGGGAAAGCTCTGTCTCAATGCTTATGGCATATAACTACTTTATGCTTTTTTTCTTTATGTTTAGAAGTCAGCCTTTTCAATAATGTGCTACCACTTAATGCTTAAATATTAATCAATGAAAGGTAAAAATCATAAGTCAGTGGTGGCGAACCTATGGCACGTGTGCCAGAGGTGGCACTCAGAGCCCTCTCTGTGGGCACCCGCGCCATGCCCTGGAGATGGCAACCGTCCCTCTTCAACCAGCTGCCTGCTAACTTGCCGAGGTCCCAAATGGCTGGATGCATCCCAGCACCCATGCGCTTGCTGGCCTCTGTGTGCAGGGGCCGATGGTGTCAGGCAGCAGCCGCCCTGGCCCCTGCCTCATCTTGCCCTGTGACAATGGCACCCCCGCCCTGCCTCTCCTTGCCTTTCCCCACAGGATGAGCCTCCTGCCCACCGCCTACCTGCCAGAGCCCCCCTGGATCTCCCCAACCCTGCCCAGCCCCCACAGGCATCCCTTCCCACGAGCAACACTGAGGTGATCACACCCACCCAATCTGCCATGACCATCACAGCCATGCCCATCCAGTGGGCCATGCCCACCTGGCACCCAGCGATAAATAAGTGGGTTTTGGATTGCAGTTTTGGCACTCGGTCTCTAAAAGGTTCGCCATCACTGTCATAAGTATTTCCTATTTTTAAAAGGTCATATAACTTATTTGTGAAACTTAATCTTATACCCTGTTCAATTTTAACAATTAACAATGTGGAAATACCTGATTATGCAATATTAGAGAACTGATAGCTAACACTCAAAGATCTCGATCAGGGGTGTTAAACTGCTGGCCTGCGGGCCGGTTGCATCATACGGACACCATGCCCACCCCAGCTCCAGCAACGCAAAAAAAAAGTCACGATACATTGCGACACGTCATGTGACATGGCGAGTTTGACACCTGTGATCTAGATCAGTGGTTCTTGACGTGGGCGATATCGCCCTCCAGGGGGCGATTTTGTTTTTCAGGGGGGGGATGGAACGAAAAGGGGCAACCAGGGGGTGAAGGAACGAAAAGGGGGCGATATCGGGGCAACGGAGCAAGAAGTTTTGGGGACACTTTTGAGACTTTTTCGTACAGTGAATCGCTGTATATCTGTCGTACAAAAACATCAGATCGCTCGCTATTAGTGGATTGAATTGTTTTCAAATGTTCCTCCAGCAAGCTTCAGTACAGAACACCATACATATGTGAATACGCATCAGCTTTGTTTTTGAATTTTTGTTGTGCTCTGTAAAACATTTTGTGTGTCTCTTTGTATTGTACTTTTTTAGTGCGCATTCCAGTTCGCTATTATATTTTCTTTGTTGTCTTTTTAATCCTTTTTACAGTGTGCGTGACTATATATACTTTCCTCGAATCTTAATTTAGTTTCAGAGTTTTCGTCTTGAAATTCTTAGTTCCTGCATTGTGGTTTGTTCTTATGCCCTTTTTATATTTCTTTTTGAGTCTTAAATTTCACTTGTAATTCAATCATTAAATGTTTTTCTTTTCAGGCATTTCACTTTCTAGCAATTGAATTTTGTTTTCAGTGGTCATTACATTTAAGTGTCTTGAATAAATAAGATAATAATGAAATACATGTATCACGAAGTTTGGGAATAAAGTGATGGGTAGCACCAAAATTTTTCACACAGTTGAGATATGGGAAAAAGACTGGAAATAAATTATTTGCATCGATATGTCCTGATGACAATTTTAAGTAAAACAAAAAAAATGTTTGCATAAATTGAAGAATTATTTCCCATGAGAGGTTATGTTGGGGGAGGGGGGCAATGACAACTTCCTCATTGGCTCAAGGAGGCAATTTGTTCAAAAAGCTTAAGAACCACTGATCTGGATAATGGCCATATTGCAATAGGAGAACTCTTCAGAGCTGAACTGCCACATTTAGCACTGACATAAAACCTATTTTAAGGACCAAAATCAACCCTGTTCATTTTGGGAAACTGAAGCTTACCTTATCAATCATTTTCATCCATTTTGGCAAATCATCAAATGTCTCCTTCTTTGTGATGTCATATACCAATATTATTCCCTTGGCACTTCTGTAATAAGCTGAGGTAATGCTGTTGAATCTTTCTTGACCTGCTGTGTCCCTAAGAAGCAGCAGCAAATATAGATACAAATATTTAACTACTTTACAGAGCATCTCAAATTTCTATAATAAATTTTATACCTTAAAGTCTGCACTTTTCCTACCAAATAGGCAAGGGCTAAAAAAAAAAAAAAAAAAAAAAAAAAAAAAAAAAAAAAAAAAAAAAAAAAAAAAACCTCCCCCAAAGAAAATAATTTCTTGAAAAGGAATGTGCATGCAGAAGCTATATTGTTTCTGTGTATGTATTCAGTGAGTGATTACAGTGGTAAATTCATACAAGACAACAATGTGACTGTGGATTCAAGCATGCAATATGATGATTATAAATCTTGTTATTAGTGGCCTAGCTTCTACTTAGAATCTTACCAGTTATGGCTAGGCATATACTGTGGTATGTTAAAAACAACAACAACACAAGAGCATAAGCCAAGTGAAAGTTCAGAGAAATGAGACATGAATTTACATAATCTCAGGGTTTTAGTTAGATATGGACATCACTTTATTGCTTCCTTTGATAGTACAAGGCAGAGGAAGCATGCAGACCTGCTCCATTTACTCATGGGCAACACTGATGGCAAGAGATAAGACTTGAGCATATGTTTCCTGTTCACTTATCTCAAAACAAACACATTTTTTCATAATTAAATCCTCCTTGATCCAATGAGAGATTCAAAGATGTTGTATGTTATAAGAGATTTTGTTTTTAGAATTTTAATCCTGTTTGAGTTGAGAATAACTATTAATTTTCATCAAGGTACAACTACAATTTTAAATTTTTAATACATGCATTTAGGAACCCAGTTACAGGTTTTATTCATGTAGAAGAGGAAATCCTTTCAGTTTGTCAAACTGTTTTGGATTTACTAGGAAAAGATGAATACTTATTAAGATTATTCTTTTAGTTTTCTTTGTCAACACTGCTATAATTGCTAACTTTACTATAATAACATCATCACTCTAAATGATTCCAGATGGAGTAACTGTGAATAAATAGCCTTTATTTTCTTTTTATTTCTAATTGGGTTTTTTCATTATGTAAGCATCACAGAGTCACATGGGTATCATGGGGGGGGGGTGATATAAATTGAATAAATAAAGTTGAAATTAGCCTGTAAGCTGTGAGTTTTTAGAACATTCCTTATATAAAATATGTATACTTTAATCTGCATACTTTGAGTTCTTAGAGAAATGAGGTTCTAATCTGTTCCAGACAATCAGCTGCCTTAAACAAAGCACAAGCATTTTCTATAAATATACACACCTATACTATGTACAGATATACCTTACATTAATAAACTAAAAATATCAATGTACCGTAAATACCTTTCAAACAATGCATTTAATAGATTTAGGGTGCATATTTTATGAATATTGAAATAATTAAAATGCTATATTATCTTTACAAAAAGTTATGCCTTTATGAACCACTTTTTCTTGTATGTGGAAAGTTAGATCTATTTATAATACTAGACTTTCAAGTGGCATTCTCATTTATCAACATAATTTTTTTGATGACGAGAATTTGCAATTCCAGTACTTTTTTCTAAGATCCTGACCAGAAAAAGCAAATGCAATCTTATTAGCACCTTTTCTAACACAAAAATTAAAATTTTCATTTTTGTTATATAAGGAAGAGAGTATGACTCTAACAAATTGATAAGGAAACAGGCAGTGTAGAGCAGCCTGGTGTGCAGAACAGAGAAGCTGCCTTTATCTACATTTTCTAGATGTCAGAAGGTTGATTTGGCCATGTTGTAAACAGCTTTTGCTTTGATTTATACAGCTTCAACATGTATAAATAAATTTATACAGCAAGGATTTATACAGCTTCAGCATCAGGAATACCTTCAAGGTACGTTCTCCTAAGACAGTGGTTCCCAACCTTTTCTATACCTCGCACCCCTAGAATGCTTCTGATATATTCTCACACCCCTTACAAAAATTCAAAATAATGGCCACAAATTATGCATATATAGTTTTGAAAACCCAAGCACCCCTGGTTGGGAACTCCTGTTCTAAGACAACAGACTTGATCAAGTTTCCCCAAATATTGCATTTTCTTATCCAAGACAGAATGCAAATGCCAAATCCCATTCTTAGGTCACAACAGACAATCCATTAAATGGCGTCAGACATTTACAGAAAACATATAAATGGTTGAAGACTTGGAAGGTTAGAAGAAGGCATTAACTGCCTGAAACTCCCCAAAGAGAAATTATTCTGGATTATTAACATTAAAACAGCTATTTAAGGAAATCAATTTTACTGGCCTGGAAATGTGAGGGAGGGGCAAAGCAGGCCTAAAGTACTCTTTCAGTCAGAAATGGACAAGTGACTCTGAATTGAAGTGTTTCCCCAAGACCCTTTTTTGAAGCCTCACAGCATGAGTGCTGAAAACTGAGTTGGGAAGAATACACAATAACCATAAAGTACATTCTAAAATAGGCATAAAGAACTTGTATTTTTCTCAAATTCAGGCCCACCCTATATATGGCCCCACCCATCTTGTTATCAGCACTCCTTCCATGTTAATTATGGCCCCTAGCTACCAATAATCATCCAATCCTGCCTTCAGTCAATTCTTAAGTCCAGTTTCAGTTCTCTTACATTATGACAGTTCAATACATATGTAGAAAGAGTAAATAAACATTCTGACTGAGATTCATTAAACTCAATGCACGTACAAAAATGTTTCTGTATGCACTCTATTTTATCTCAAAAATCTTTCTTAACAAGCTTGGTTTGAAGGTTCTTCCAATCAACAGGATAAACGTTTACAGAGACAAAATAGCTACAGTGGGAAGACAAGCCAAAAACTTAATACTACTAAAGAACAAAAAGAGCAGTATTATATAGAAAATCATATAGAAGACAATGCTACATCTCAGATATATTCATTGCAAAACATGTATGCATTCCGAGTTCTCCATTTACAAATTCTAGCAGTTTCTAAGGGCAGATATAAATGTATCGAATCTATGTCAAATACTACTACTACTACTACTACTACTACTACTACTACTACTACTAGAGTTGAGAGGGACATTGGAGGTCTTCTAGTCCAACCTCCTACTCAGGTAGGAAACCCTTTATCATTTCAGAGAATTGGTTGTCCGGTCTTTCTATTCAAGAATGCAGAATAAGGAAATATCTATGTAAAAACAACAGCTACTCTCCCACATTAGACAGAAACAAATGTTTCTGTCTAGATTTCATTATTATCAGTGTACCTCATTATCACTGACCTTATCATGTATATTTATCATTACACTGACAATTTTTACAAGAAGGCCCAAGCTGCATAATCATTTTCATGCCACTGAATTTTTGCAATTATATTCACCCTATCCATTTAGTCTTTTTGGATACTGAAAAGGTAGCCTGCCCAAGAAAGATTCCAATCTGTTATCCCAAAGATGCTTTTTCACAAGGCAACAGAACTTTCTTGTTTTTCTTTCTTATCTAAGAAGCTTCTTCAGGTCTGACTGGATGGTGGAGAATGGAAAGATTTATACTCCTTGCAGATAGCTGGTGATTTGTATTCTTTTAGTGAGTTGTTAGTGCTACCTGGAAGCTTATCTGTGTCTTCAGGGTCACCTGAGTAGTGCAAATGTGTGTGGAGCTTCTTGGAACTGGTAAAAGGACTGTGCTGTAGACTGGAGATAGATGATGTCGTATCCCTCTCCCTCTGTTGAGAGAGGGCTGTTCAATTTTGACATAGATGGTCTCTTTGACCCCTCTTTCAGACAGTCCTCTCTGTCCAAAATGTGGACTTTGCTGTCTTCGAAAGAGTGGCCTTTGTCTTTTAAATGCATATGGACTGCTGAATCTTGTCCTGATGGGTTTGTTCTCCTGTGTTGTGCCATGTTTATGAAGTTGTTCCAATTTGTTCTTCAGCCTTAACAGTAACAACAATGCTACATTTGGTATTTGATGGCATTTTATCACAGTCAGTTTTCTACTCACTGCTGCCAAGACAGTCCCATTTCTATTTAATTTAAACAAATAATCCTATCAAATCGGGGATCCTATCACAATTGGACAAACAAAAGGAAAGAATATTGACCAAGTAGCCTATATAAGCACTTCTAAATAAAATGAAAATAAGATGTGATAAGTATATACTACTATTCCTAACATTTCTAATATAATAATCAGCATCTCTTGATGTATTGCTTTTGCTGAAAATGTAAGTCTTAATTACACCTGTTCACTAGAAAATTAGCTTTACCAAACATTTTTAGAAGGCTTAAATATAAAGGCATATTTAAAATGAAAAACATAATAGTTGAACTCTAGCTTTGATTAAATCATTGTTTTGTGCTAAACAGAATAGAGGAACAAGTAAAGGAACAATACTTATTTAACTGCATAATTAAAACTAAAGTGTCCTACAAACTGGATTCTTGAACACAACGAAACAGAAATGGTTCATAACTGCCTTCTCCTAGTCCCACCTCCTTCCAACCTGGAATTCCTTAAAGTGTCCCATCCATTGCTAATCATATTTATTTTTACAGGAAATAAAAGATAACCAGAAACATTTGTCAAGCTTGAAGCCCAGATTCTTTAACATTCTTTCTGCTTAATTCTACAGCTGAAGTCAGTTCTTAAGAAAATTATGCAAGTGACAAGAGAATTACCGTATATTCCGGCGTATAAGACGACTTTCTAAACACTTAAAATCTTCGCAAAAGTGGGGGGTCGTCTTATACGCCGGAAAAATATTACTCAGCAAGTTTTCTCTTCCCCCCCCCCTCTCTCTCACTCAAAAAGAGTCCTAGGGTTATTATTAAAACCAGCCGATCAACTAAAGATATCTCTGAGAGTACGATAGGCATTATCTGGCTGTTGTGACGGTAAGATTTCCTGGAGGTTTAATCCCCATTCTATAATGCTACATTGCAAACCGTCTCCTCTCTTCTTCCCTCCCTTTTGCATCCCAATTCCTTGCCCACCCCTCCAGAACTGCGGATTGGTAGTGGCCATCCCCTGATTAAT